AAGTTAACTATAACCGAATAAAAGGAGCCGGCCAAGAGGCCACCTTAACACCAAAAAAAAAAAAAAAAAAAAAAAGTAATCACCCCCCGATAATTCATCTGAAGTCTCTGAATTTTCGGATTCAAAAGCTGTGAAAAAACTTCGGGATCAGCAACAGGACAAAGAAGCTCGATCACATAAGAAGAAAGAAGTAGAAAATATCGTGCAAGATGTATTTGATTTTACCGTGGATGAGTCTGATAAAAATCACATGGCAAAATTTTCGCTTACGGGCCGTAAGAAAAATTCAGGTGTATTGAAAAATATAGCACGTTTATACGAAGATGCATGTAACGCAGAAGATGAAACGATAAAAGCCAATCAGGTAGAAATTTTATGCTGGGTTAATTTTATTAACGGACTGGATAAAAGTGTGGATGAAATTATGATCAAAGAAAAGGTAGGTATGAAAAAGGCCAAAGAACAGATTTACAATTTTATTCTTGCGCACAATCCTGGTACCAAACGAAATACCTTATATCAACGCATCAGTAGAGCCAGGAAGATTTATGAGTTCATCGAAAAAATAGGAATTGATAAAGTCAAGTACATCAAAATATATAGTGCGAATTCTATTGCAGAATTATCTGATAGTAAAATTCAAACTATTATTGATTATTTCTCCAAGAATTCCAACACTGAATTACTAGGTGATCAGAATGACTCTATCATAGATTCTGAAAAGGATATTTCGGACGATCAGACTAATGCATCGGAGGCGGTTTCAGATAAGGTAAGCGAATCAACCTCATATTCCTGTATCTTATGACTTTAATTCTTCAGGCCCTGTTAATGTGGATGGTGGCGACCCCAATTCAATTATTGATGACTCCGATTCTGATTATTCTGAAGAAGAAATGCCAGATGAATCGGATGACGATGGATATAGTGGATGCGGTGGATATAATGAATATGGTGAATCTGATAGAGGTTATTATTATGATTTAAGTAGCGGGAAAAAAACTTATAAAAATTCTGATTATATAATTAGCGCA